ATATATATAAGTTAGACTAGATCAGACTTTAAAGAGATCAAGTCATAGATCTATTATTTAAGGTTTGACCTATTTGTATCTTAATTAAGATACATGTCTTGTACACACCTCTTTTGATTAACATTTTATATTTAACTATAATTTGTATAAAAAAATTATTTTAATTTTTTAATTTGAAATGTGATTATATTGATTTTATAAAATAAAAATATTCTTAAATAAATCTTTAAAATGTCAAATAAGTTTATTATCATTTTGAGTTTTGATAATACATCTATTTTATTTTTAGTTATATGTTTTTTTTCTTGTTATGAATTAATATGATTGTAAATTTATACTTTTAAAGATGTATTTAATGAATTTTTTATTTTAAAGACAAAAATAATAACATATTTTAAATTAGTTTAATTTTTTTTATTAGGTAAATGAAAGAATCTTTTAGCTAATAATTATGAACTAAATTCTTAAGTTATTAATTAAGGTTATTTTTTTAATGAACATTTTTCTCACACATTAGTTAAGAATCAAGTTTTAAATCAATACTTAAAAGATCAGGCTATTTATCAATCACATTACACCTTGAATGAATCTAGTTAGTTCATCAATTCAAGTATTTCCTCTCCTTGAAAAACTATATATCCTACGGTTTCTCTACTCTAAAAATTATAAGAAAATTAATGTATAAAGTCTAAAAAAAAATTATTTTTAGTTTTCTTACCTGTCTGAAATCTCATAATATTTGTTGTTTATTTCATATTTATTCTAATACTTTCATAATAAATAATATATATATATTTCAAAATCTCTTTTTTCGTCGACAAATATTTATAAGCAGAAATCCTAACAAATCAAAACTAAAAAAATATATTTACACCAAACAAAAAAGAGCCTAATCAAAATCTAAAGTCAAAGTTCATTACACATGTGAATTTTTAGAAATAGTTCATTATTCACTATTTATCACCTCATGATCAGCTATGCAAAGGTAGTATTTTGGTTCCATACTTGACTCGTTGGATACAAGGATGTTTCCATGAATTCATGACAAACACTATTCACTACGTAAGAGTACGTATAAACGCAAGAGACGCCGCAAGTGCAAGAATTCTAGAAAATATTTTCAAGTTATAGTTATGTAAAAGAGCTAAAAATGTAATAACAGTACATGCATGAACAGTGACAAGAGTTAAGGCTTATGAATGACGAGTTCTTTATTAGGCATTGATATTAAAAATGGGTGAACAAATGAAGGACAAAGTAGGCTCTAGTACTGCTCTCTAGTCCCTAGTCTCTCCTGCTTCTATGCTTTCACGATGCTTTTCTTCTGCTTGTCTGTCTTTCTGTCTGTTTCTGATGCTGTAGCTGTATGCTGCTACTGCTGCATCGCTACCACTGCATGCCTTCTTCTCATATAGCTGCACCTTCGATGTGCCTCATTTAATTTTCAAGCTTTAAAGTTCTACGCGCATGCAATAGATTGATCGAGAATGGAATGTAACTTCTGACCATGTCTTTCCAACTTCTTCATCTCAATACTATCAAATTATGTTGTTTTGACTATTCTAGGTGTACTTTAATGACTCATTGATGCTACAATTCAAATAAGTTTTTCTTCTTTCTAGGACTTCCTAACATATTTTCTGAATAATTTTGTTCAAGTAGGGAGAATTGTTCATTCAAACTGTTTATAATAATTAATATTACTATTGCTAATGCCATAGAAATATGGAAGTATAAAATGACGGCTTATTCAAGAAACCATGGGGACTTAACAACTCCCTTAATTGATCATTCTTTATAGTGTACTGTTTAGTGTATAACCTAATTTTAACTGTGATGATAAAGGAAAAAACAATGAACTGACTTGTGATAACAGGATATAAATAAAAGTAGAGTAATACACTTTTGCAGATGCCAACTGTGTAAACACGTGACATCAATGATTTTTTCCTATCTCTCTCGCAATGTTTGGTTGAAAAAAAGTCGAGAATTCATCTGCCTATGAGATGAGTCGCGTTCTTACCGATCAAACTAACTTTAATTGACATATCTCTTTCATCATTTAACGTTATGCATATTTGATAATCTTACACACTTTTGTCAAGTCAGTATTGAAAGATGTATTCTGTGTTTGCAAAACAATCATGTCTACAAGTATATGCTGTTACTTCTCAATCAAACATACGCATGTGATTTTGTGGGACACATTACGAACAAACTATATATTACTGTCAGGTGTTTTTACTAATTTTTGGGTCCATGCTGACTTAGTTTTTTTAAAGAAAAAATAGTTATGTTTTGAAAAATGAAAAAAAAAAAGTTCATTATTTTCAATAGATTAATTTTTACTAGTATTAGGTTATAGACCACCTTAAAGAAAGACATCAAAGTAATATACACTTGTGTGAATGCCTGTGCATTGTGTCTAAGAGTGTAAATCAATTAAAAGTTTGAACTTAATTTATAAAAAAAAAAAAAAATTAATTGCTGAATTTAAATTTAATTAAAATTTTGAATTTGATATTTTTTTTCAAAAAAAGAAGAAGCTTGAACTTAGCTTGTTTAGTTCATTTTCAACTTAATTATTTGTTATATGAAATTTTTCTTAAATTATTTTGACTTTATCAACATTTAATAATTATTTTGATTTCAGATAATTAATTATCTGCTAATTAAAAAAAATTAATTTAATCATTTTAAACTATTACATTTTCATAATTTAGCATACAAAAAAATAATGGTAACTTAATAATTTTTACAAAAAAAAAATCAGAATTAAGTTTTTTTTAGGAGAAACAACACTAATTTTATCTTATGAAAAATAAGATCGAATTTACTAAAATATGAATTTAAACTCAAGATGTGTCAAAGTTTAATGTAAAGATACATGAGATCAATAGGATTAAATCTATACATAACAACCCACAACATTTTCAGTATAAAATCAATATTATAATATATATAATGTCAAAATTTTAAAGTTTTGACTTTGCTCATTTATAGAACCGAGTCCAATTTTAAGTTAAAATTTGTTCATTTGATTATATGAACAAGTAATTAATGAGTCGAGTATAAGTAATTTAGTTCACAACTAGAACGTTTAAGTTGACTCATTTATACTCTTAGTTGCGGCTGTAATAAAAAGAAGGATTTTTTTTCTTCTAAAAATAAATGTAACAATAAGCTTGAAGAAAAATGTTTGATACTAATTTATTTATATTTTGATTCTTTTTATGGTCTAATTAAATATCCATGTGGGACACCCAGTTATACGCACAAGATTATTTTTTTGCTTTCAAAAAGTCTATTTTTAATTGCATGAGAGAAAAAGAGATCCTCGACTTAATTCGATATTTATTCCCCAACAGCTACTTATAATATTTACATTTTTATTCCTCTTTCTTTCTCTCTAGGTACTTACTAGCACTAGCATAGCATGTCTTATTACACCATGTTGGTGTATCTTTCACAAAAGATTATATCATGATGTTTTTCTTCTTCTATCTTTCATCTATTTTTGTTAGGGGAAAAGTTTATGTGAATTAAGTCTTCCAGGATTTTCTCAACTTATGAAATGAGTCATATTCCTACCATCCAAACAAACTTTTGTTTCATATCTTAACAGTGGTAAATTTACACGTTTATGCTAGTGTCAAGCCAATGTTGAAAATAAATGTATCGTGTTTAGAATAATATGGAGAAACAATTTTTTCACGGTCAAACTCCATGCTAGGTCGTTCACTCACTCTCTATTTTGATTATTAAACTATTGAAACTCGAAACTGAAACTGAATCTCTACATATTTATTCCAATTAATAAAAATCAAGGAGAACCAATTTAACCAGGACGTCAAACAAATTCTTGATTTGCTACAAGTCTTGGATTTATACAAATTGATATAAACTATATGGTAAAATATTAAATTTATAAAAATTAATGTATCTAGAGCTAATTGGAGACAGATGCAGCTAAAAAGTAACTAGAATCCCAGCAAACTTATGTTGAAACAAAATTACAAACATGCAGTTGGACAGCCGTAAGTGCTGAGATTTGCTACAGGATTTATTTCCATGCAAAAATGTACAGACATAGCATATACACATAAAATATATAATATAGTACAGTATATTACAAACATCGTAGGGCATTAATTGTGTAAAAAAATTACAGCCGTCTTTTGTATGCTGCTGGCGGAACCACAATAACCGAATGTCATATAAAAGTTTGACAGCAAATGTTTACCCGAGCTTCTACAGTCTACAGTCATTCAACCTAAAATACTCCAAAGATCAAATGTCAGCACAACGGTAAGTATGTCAGGCTTAAGATCAACGATATCAATTTAACAATTATAAACTATGAATCCATTTAGTTAAACAATTTCATTAAGCAGTTAATTAATAACTCCTATCACATAAAATTTGTTCAAAAAATTAACTGAAAATTACTGAAATAAGTAAAATCTTATTAAAATAAATTGAGAAAAGGCTTATAAAAGATATAAACTACTTTCGTAAGTCCAAAATAAAAATTCCAACCCCCCATATACCACTACAATTCCAAAGCTTGCTTGATATATATAGTGTGCTTGTAACTGCTTGCTTTTACTAAAATACCAGTATTTGGTAGCTTGCTACGCCTATTTCGTTACGGAAATCATCTCATTCTTAATCACGAATAATATAAATTAAGCCGTCATGACTTCAACAACGTCTCTCGCATCTCAAATCAAACTGTCAGTTCAACGCCTTCAAGTAACCAATGAACATATAAATACATGCAAAATGCCACAACAACGTCTCTCGCATCTCAAATCAAACTGTCAGTTCAACCCCTTCAAGTAACCAATGAACATATAAATACATACAAAATGCCACGGAATAAATATGCATAACCAAATTATGTATCAAAGAAAGAAAAGGCAGGGGAAACAATTCATTTATCAAGGCATAGTTTTTCACTTGTATGTATAGGACCCTGATGGAAGGACTTAAACACAACACAATGATAAGAGAGAAGGATAACAAATGACAGCAAGCAGAGATAAAAAATAATCAACAATTAGACAAAACCCAATTAGAAAATCTTACCAAGAAATTCCCCTTTTGCATTCCACGGGCGATTTTCAAAGGACTTCCCAACAACATTTCTTTTTTTATTTAGAGTTCCCTCCTCACAGCAGTAGTGTGGAAAATAATCATTGAATGTTTTGCTTCCTAGTTCATCAACTCCATTAAACAGAAAGCTTCTCAACATATCCTAGGATAAAACATGAATGTAATATTAGTACTAGATTGCTGAGGAATTAAACCAACCTCAAATTTTGGCCTACCTTTGCAAGTGTGTCCCCAACCAGCTTGTTCAAAACACCTTGTCCCGGATCCTACTTCCAAATATGCATGAACGAGGTCCATTAAAAGGTAAAACTGAATTGGTCATAGACTATTTGCCAATTTTAAATTTTAAAAGGTCGCATTTTAAATTCATGTCCTGATTGGATTGGCTGTCCAAAGTTGTATAGTTCAAACCTCAAAACTTATTTGCCAATGTTATTGTTGATATTTGAATGTAGAAGACGTCAAACACAAGCATTACCATCTCTGAATATATTATCATCTTATTATCTTCAACTGATGCTAAATAAGTAAAGATCCTTGGTGAATTAGAAAATCATATACCAGATCACCAATCATATTTACAATTGGCTGTGAAAGAAAATTTTAGCAAATGTGAAGTACCGTTTCAGCTCTCCATGTCAGATATCTGTGTTGTGCTTCGAGATTTTGGAAAATTTTAGATTTATCTGTCTCTTTAACTGCTTTAGAAATCAATTCCAACCAAACCTGCCAGGGTAACAGTCATCAAGATAAAAAAAAATTACACATTTACTAGGTCAACTAAAGTTCGCTAAATATACTATATTTAGCAAAACACGAATTGTCATATTCATAAAATTGACAAATGACCATGATGCTGGATTATTACCTTGTAATAATCCCTAAATGCAGAATACAGCATATCATATTTTTGTGGGCTTGAGGTAAACTTTGTCCAGATGACAATTGGTGAGAAAAAATTTATAGACTCACTCGTTAGCTTCCCTCCCCATGAAAAGAACTGCATGAAGTCTGTGTTAAGTCAATACACCAAGTCTTTAAGAATTTTTTTATATATAATTTACAGAAAAACACATGTGAATCTATGAGTACTTTAATGAACCAATACTAACAAAATGAGGAAAAGTCGAAAAGATGGAATTCAGAGTAAGAGTATATCCAGTTTTAGAACAAAGCATCACTCAGGTGGTTAATCAGGTCAATAACTAGTTGCAAATTAACAAAACTTTTCACATTGTTATGCATTTGAGTGATTAACTGTTTCAAAACTGAAAATACTTCTTCCAATAATTCTTGTAATTTGCCCTAAAATACTTGCAGTTACCTCAGCATATTTAAGGCCAAGAGGAATTAAGCTTTTAAAGTACTTTTCCTTGTACTCATACTGATTGATGATATCATGCAAGGGGTTAAGGTCCCTGACATCATCAATTCAAAGTTAGTGCTTTGCATTAAATACAGTAATTTGTTCTTAATGCTTAAAGCTATAAATAGCACAGTGGGAAACCTTTATCACAACAATGTCAGTGAACAAATATTAGATTACTAAGACGGTTAAGGTGTAAACAATATTGGGGAGAAATGAACACTGCAGGCAGTCACAGATTTTCATGGATTATCTTCTAGGCTTTATTTCTAGATGAAGTCCGGTCTTTTTCATTATGTTATTTAGGCCAAGTCCTACCTTCCAAGTATCATAATGTTAAAGCACATGAACTGACAATATGACTAAACACATTTAAATTGAGGGAGAAATACTGCAACCTAAGAAAGTTGACTGTAGATTATCTAAATGGATGGCACTATGGAATTCTTCCACAACTTAGTAGGTGACAAATTTTAGTAGTAGACACGCAGCTGGCATACTAGATCCTTGAGTTTGTATTTACTGATCAACAAAGGCATATTCTTATCCCATTTATTATAATGGATTCACCAAATACTTGTTTGTAAGATTGTACCAAGACTCCAAGAGGAATCAATACTTATCAGCCAGAAGCCTATAAACTCAAACTACAGTATATATCAAATTCAGATCTGATTTTTTATTGTAAAGCTATAATACATGAAAAATGAAAAGCAGAGGCCAATATGGATATAGTAAAGATGATTTCGGTACATATAACTTAATTTCAAATAGACAGCCAAGACATGCTCAATGTTGAAATCTAATTTACATAGAGCATGGCATATAGCAAAATTTATTGAACTAAGGTTTTAGGGTCCTTTATTTACAAGACTTCTATAGAGAATAAGTTTCGCACTGCAACTCTGCAGGTACAGGATCTGTGATATTCGTAATGATGATTAATGCTAAACTTCATCTTCTTCAAGGTTCATGGAAAAAAAGTAGCAAAACCAAAGGGCTACAGTAAATTAGTAAAACAACTATTTTCTTGCTTAAAGTGACTTAGATCTATTCAATCAGGAATATACCACAAAAGAGATATGACTATTTTACAAAAGAATGAAACGTTCTCTTCAAGTCATTAGCCAGGTATATTTACAGCTATTGAAATATGGTAATTTTTTTTACCATGTTAATAAAATACCTGCTGCTGAAACTATTTGATACTTGATACACCTACTTTGGTAAGTATTAGTAGGCAGTTAAACATATGCATTTACCACACCAAAATGAAGACATAAGAGTTCTGTGTTGTGTGTACCCCCCAAAAGTACTTGATACACCTACTTTGGTAAGTATTAGTAGGCAGTTAAAACTGAATGATTCCCACTTCGATTTCTCAATGCAAAGCAACCCAAGATAAACTCTTCCTGGATATAGCAAAACTTTGTTTCCATAATTAGTAATAAGCACTTCCTGGATGGGAAAATATTGCATTACCATGCATAAATTTCCATAAGCAGAAATACAGTTTGGGAATAAGTTTAACAACTAGTATTTTAACATGTACAATGAATAAGATATATTTTTTTATATAAAAAAAATTATAATATACAAATAATTTTGAATATATAAATCATATTGTAATTAAAATTTATAATAAATAAATATTTTATCATATAATTTATCTTTTAGATTTCTAATAAATAATTTATATTAAGATATAATGTTATTTTTAACTTTTGATAATTTCTTGTAAAAAATATATTAAAATTAAATTAGAAATAAAAGTGAAAATGATAAATTGAGAGAGATAAGAAGTTAAGAAAAAATCATAAAAATACTCTCGTTAAAGAAAAACAGCTAAAAACTAGGTCTAGCTGAAGAATGGTCCCTAAAAATTCTCTTGTTCAAGATAATTATTCTAATTTATGTAGAGAGAGAGGATTGCAAAGATTGTCCACATTGCTAGACTTTTTCAACTAAAAATAAAGAATGAAGAAAAACATCCTTTATACATTTATACAAGTGGATTGCAACAGCTATGGAAGAAGATGCTAACTTACATCACTATAATGTTTGTTTTAGCAGAGGTGAAAAAGTTGGCACAAAATATGGGGACATCATATTCTGATTCTGGAAAGACTGTAAAATCCAAAACCTGCATAAGTTCAAGACAAAAAAAGGCAGTAAGCATATTGTAAAAAAATATAAAAAATATAAAAAAAAATCCACAGACAGAACAAAAGACAGCAGAACACTTCAGCAATTGCATGTCAATTTTTTTTCTTCTAGTATCATTGAAATAGAATCGCAAAACAGGTCCTAGTTCACATGAAGATGGGAAAAAGTTTGGACATGGATGATATCAGGACATCTCATGCTCAAATGAGGTCCCAGAGATATAATACCACAATTAAGAAAAGAAACAATCACTGGCCACTTATTTTTTTCCCAATGATGTATTTATTACTTCAAAATAGCTGCAACCGAATTAGGGATGGAGTTGGTATTATAGTAAATTTAACTAAGCAAGAAATACCAAAGTAAGAAACAGTAAAAGGCATTTTGACTTTGAAGTCTGGAGAAACAGAGAAGATATTTGGTGTGGCGAAGTCAGAAAGTTTAGTCATGAATAATTATGTCACGGATTATATTTTTAATTAAAATAATGGAGTAGGGATTGTCAATGTTGTCAAAATTATGGTGTTTTAAGAATGCATGAAGAGAATAGAGAAAAAATAAAGTTTGAATAATATTTACTTGTGCATTGTGTTACTTTTGTATTATGATACGATAATACAATGATAAAACCTAAGGAACCCACCTATATTTATACAAATAATCCTAACTAAATAAGAAAACAAATCATAACATACTAGAAAAATGGAAAGTAAGAAACTTCATAAGCTAATTGATACCACCCCCTCAGATGACAAACCAACAAGCTATACGGAACTTATGAAGAGCCCAACTACCAGACCCAAGAGGACTATCAGAAGGCCCAAACTAGTCTTCTTTTAATTTGCTCTGTTGATCTAGTACCTAGTGTATGGTACTGTTTAGAGTGCTGTAGTATTTTGCTCTTTAAATAAAGCCTGGATTTCCCTGTTCATGGCATGAATGCAGAAGTATTTTCTTTTCTTAGTTATTTTCTTTTAGTCTAGTATTTTCTTTGTATCCCTAATCCTAAGATACTCTAAAATATTTTGAGATTTAATATTTGATGATACGAGATATTCCAACAACATTTATACCTCCTGGGGATCACAAATTGCACATAGAAAAATATATAAAAGGATGCTCACAAATTTTGTTAACATGCATTGTTTTAGAAGAAGGTTCCTTTACCGGTAAAGGAAAAAAAATAGAGACCGACAGAAATAAATTCAGATAAATAAAATTTTGAAATTACTATGGCTGTAATAAATTACCAGGTACTACAAAGGCAAATTTTGTTAGACATTAGTAGAAACCAAACATATATCAATTTGATATTTGATAGGCATTAAAAAACATACCTGCATCGTTTCTGTCTCAATGATCAAACTCCGTAGAAGCCTAATTTTGGCAGCTTCAAATGATAGCATACTAAGCCTTCCTTTACCATCCTTAGATTTCATGAAACTGAACTTTTCCTAGCAAGACAACATACAAAAATGTAAATTGAAGATCTATGAATACAAATAATGACGGAGAACAAATTAAGTGAACAAAGCAGAGGACTGGGGAACAAATACATACAAAAAATCACAACTAAGAATCTGTGAAACAATTGTGTTCAATTAAATTAAATTAAAATAACCCCATAAATAAAATGTAGATGAAATAGAGAATTAAATAACTCAATAAAAAGAAGAAGAAGAAGAAGAAGAAGAAAAAAACAATGAGAGTTAATGGCTAGTAAATTGAAGAACTAGTTAATACTTAGAGACTTAGTTCTAATCCGAGAAGCAGAAACTTGATGATTGGAAGAGTACACCACATCCTCAACAGGGCAACACAAAAACTTAAAACATGTCGACGTGATATGACACCTAAGCATACTAAAACTCTTTTTCATCTCAATTTTCTCTTCTAAATTAAATGGTAGATGTTCATTAAACAATGACCAAACCAAAGTCATAGTTGACTTCATTTATGATCAAAGGTAAGAAGAATCATCAACAATTGTGTTTGATAATTGTTGTAGTTGCTTCTCATACATTTCCATGAAGTGTTGGGTCGGGTTTATCAGTTGTCAATTAAAAAATCTGAAACACTTGCAAAATTGCAGTCTATTATCACTATCAAGCCTAGGGTTATGTACTGAGTAACTGAGTTCTGCAATAAATAGTTGGAAACAGCTGTTTTAGCTCCTCAATTAAGTTTTTTAAAAACTTAAAAGTAGAAATCCACGTTGACTTGAAACAGAATGGAACAATAACAAACCCTAATAAACCATTCCAACAGCAAGACGAAGTCATATACAGTAAAATGGAGATAATTCAACAGGAGGAATGAGAGAAACCTGCAAAGGCGAAGGGACCAAGTGAGTGTGGCTTCTGGTTTCTTCCAAAGCAAACTCAACAAACTTTTTATAAGACACCGAAAAGCTTCTTATGCAAGTACTACTCCTCAAGGCACGAGTGGAAGATGCAATTCTAGTTAACGGAGGAAGAAGAAGCTTACGTTGCAAACAAAAGCATGAGGAAGAGGAACCGCCAATTCCAATTTCCATTTATGTTAAACTTCTTCACCACTCAAACAGCGAACTTCAACGCAGGCACACGTGTTGCCTCAGAAACTTGAAACTTTCTTTCTACTTTTGGCGACCTATATTGGCCTATTGGGACTTGGGAGCCTTTAGAGTTATGGACCGTGTGGCCCACCATGGTTCACGTATGCGTACAGCCTGTGGGCCTAATTCCATGGCCCAAATGCGGATGCCTCCAAATTCCCCTCCTGTCCCGTCTGTGATAGGCAAAAATTAATTACCAAATGAAAAATAAAGTGGCTTAATTGTCATTTACTAATGATGATTAACTTATCAGTAAACATCAATTTAGTTCTGTTGGTGGAAATTTTGTCCAGAATTTCTTACCACCGAAGAATTGTTAATTTAATGGTGCTGGATGAAATTGAGATCCTTATATTCATAAGACATATGTTGGGTTTTAAAGTTCTATGATTGTAACATTGAAAATTACCAGATTAATAATCTAAAAAGACAATAAAAAAATTATTTTTTTTTTGCTGATTCTGATTTGAAGTCAAAAGATACGATTTTGAATATATATATATATGAGTGTGTGAAAAAATTGTATAATAGTGTTGTAAAAAATTGTACACATATAAGTCCAAAGACCCATTAAAATATGTATAAAAAGGGATACGAACCAAATCTTGAGATGAACACTTCATTATTCACTATCACTCATTTATTACTCAGATTTACTATTTTGAATCGAATCCTAACTTGAATATTAGTGTTTTTTTTTTTTTTTGCATATGCCACATTCTTTGGAGGATTAGTAACAAGATTAGTAACTAATAGATACTAGGAAAGAAGACTCAAAATAATGAAACTTAATAGGAGAGGATACCTTTGTACCTCGAGACACGTACAAAAAGATTTAAAAACAACTAATTAAACTTGCAATAACTAAACACAACAAAAAAAGGAATTTAAAAAATTAAAAAAAAATGGAGCAATTTTTTTATAAAATATTTTTAGAATTTTCTTTTACATGTTTTATTGTAGCTGAGAAATTCTCTTTTCTTCGTGTAGGAACAATCTTTTCTCTTGAACATGAGTAAAATCAAGTCGTTTGTCTCGGAAAATATTTTCTAATACACATTATAAATTGTATCCATATAAACTAAGATATATTATCATGACCCCAAAACATATAAGAAATTCTCCTATTTATATTTAATAAGTCAGGTTAACGTGTCTCAAGTTCAAAACTCACATGATTAACTCTGTTTGTTTTAATATTAGCACACTTTTCATTATTTGTTAAACTTAATTTATGAATCTCGTGACTTTGAAGTTAACGGATATTTGAAAATTTTCAACATTAAAACCCACACTTCAAGGTGTTAAGACCTTGCTTTTTAAATTTCACATTTCCTCCCTTCTTTTATTAAAATAATTTTTTTAATCTTATAATTTCACTTATTTTATTTTTCACTTCTTATAATTTAAATTAGGTTTTTTTTCATATACTTATCTTTTTAATTATTTTTAGTCTTTATAATTTAAAATAATTATTTTTAATCATTATACTTGTAATTTGTTAATCTTTTAATCTCTATCATTCATTTTTTATAACATTATTTGTTTTGTATTGACATGGTAAATATCTTTAATTTTGTAAAGATAAAAAATAGTGTCTGAACAATGAATGTCACAGGTAGAAGTAGAAAATGACACGATATTTCGAGAGATTTAATTTAGAGTAATTTGAGTAAAATAAATTTACCATGTTAACATAACATAAACGATGTTACAATTTTTTTTAATGATACAGACTAAAAGTTAAAAATTTGTATATATAGAGACTAAAAATATCTATCTTAAACTATAATAATTAAATTTTTTTAAAAAAAATATAAGAACTAAAAATGTCTATTTTAAATTATAAGAACTAAAAGATAAAATAAACAAAACTATAAGATTAAAAAAAATATTTTAACCTCTTTCCTTTTGTCTCAAAGAAGGATCGATTTCGATACTTGGTATATTAGTTGTACTTATTTTCACACTATTTAATACCACCTTCATTTATATATATATATATATATATATATATAAAATTAAGAAAAATAGTTAATATAGTTGGTAACAATAAAATTATCTTATTTTATATTTTTTTCAAAACTACTCTTGTAATATTTTTCCTTTTTAATTAATACACACCTCTCTTTTAATCAATTAGAGTATATAATATATTACTTCTCTACCATAATTAATATTATTTACTCGTCTAACAAATTAGAATACATGTTTTTTAAATAATTTATAATTAATACATCTCAACAAATTAAGAGAACATATTTTAATGTAAGGTGTTTCAATATAAAAATAATTAATATATCAAACACCATGAATTGAATCTTAAATAAAAAAAAAATATTCTAAATTGGATGTTATAAATAAGATCGAAATTATTATATTTTTTTGAACAATTTTATCTCAAAATTCCTAGTTTAATAAAAAATCTTTATAATATAGATCAACTTGAAGTTATTTATCAAATTAACACAATCAATATTTTATATGAAAATAATAACTATGTCCTTGCATCAGCCCCTTTTGCAGGTGCAATTTTTATTCACATAAGCAGTTACTTGTCCACTTTCCCTCGACTTGCAACTATTTATGGGCATAAAGTTCATACTGCCACAAACCAGTACAGTATGTAACAAGCTGCAATGCAAAACAATTTTGACTCTCTTT